CCTAATGTTAATTTATAGTATAACTTAATTTCATTGAAGTCAGTCAGTATGTTCCATGTAATGCCATATGCTTAGTTTATGCCCTACTAATAGATGGTTGATTTTCATGAATGTTGCTAGTGTTTCTTGAGGAGCATGGGTATTGTGTTTTGTTGGTTTATACTTCTTAATTTTTCTTTTCAATCAACCTAGTTATTCATGTTATTTCTTAATGGACTTAGAAAATCTCTGTTAATATTTTTGCTTATGTTTTTCATATTTTGTAGTTATTTTAAGTTTAAATGTAAAGAAATGGATTTCTTTCAATATATAACTTTATGGCTCTGTCAGATGCATACATTTGGATCTCCACACCACAAACAAGATGCACAACAGTCCATCAATCCTCAGAATGTCCTCCCATTATTCTTCCTCACCTGTACCAGTCAACTCTTCCCCTAATCTCCTGCTACTGGAAATTGCTGATTCCTACAGTTTTATCTTTTCTTAAATGCCATATAAATCATACAGTTTGGCCAGGCACAGTGGCGCATGTCTTTAATCCTAGTGGCTTGGGAAGCTGAGATAGGAGGATTTTAAGTTCAAAGCCAACCTCAGGAAAAGTGAGGCACTAATCAACTCAGTGAGACCCATCTCCACACAAAAAAATCATACAGTTTGTATTTTACCCAGCAGAATGCATTGTGATTCATCTATGTTGTATGCATTAATAGTTGTTCCTTTTTATTGCTGAGTAGAAATCCATTGTATGAATGCACCATAGTTTGTCTCTCTGTTCCATGGTTGAAGGACACTGGGTTGCTTCCATTGTTTTTTGGAATGAAGTTGCCATAAATTTTGTGTACAGGTGTTTGTGTGAACCTAAGTTTTTATTTATTTAGGAGTGGGATTGCTATGTTTTATGTAAGTGCATAACTTTATAGATCTATTTCTTTAATTTTGCTAATGTTATCAGTTTCTTCTTGCATTAGCTTTGGTAGTTTTGTCTTTGAAGGATGTGTCCATTTTCAGTTCAAGTAATAGACTTACAGTTGTGCCCCACCCCCATAGGTTATCTTTTAAAACCTATACAACTTGCTGTGAAGTAACCTCTATTGTTAGTATTCAAAGTATTTGTCATTGTCTTTCTTTCTGAACACTTTGGCTAGAGATTTATCAGTTTTATAATTTCAAAGAACCAACTTTTGATTTCACTGACTTTTCTATATTGATTTTCTGTTTTTTAACTAGGTGATTTCTGCTTTGATACTTAACTATTTCCTCTCTTCTACTTACTTTGGGTTTAATATAACAGAAAAAAGTCATTCTCTTCTTAGAAATAAATGACAGAGTTTACAACCCTGTGCTAAGTCCAGATTTGGAGAGAATGAAATTGTGGTGTTATTTTTAATTAATGGAAGGACACAGGAATTTTTGTTGTTTTGAGTATTGATTTTTTTTTCTGTTCATGATCTCCTTTTCAAACTCTGAATGAAATAATTCTGTAAATTGTGAAGTACTTGGAATTCCAGTGACAAGTCCTGTGAAATTTACCATAATCAGAGCAAACACTGTGAAAAGTATGGAATATCATTTAAGTGGGGCAAAATATTGTCCTTAGCAATAAGACCTTATTCTTGGCTCTAATCTTAGTGATTTGTTTTAAACCCAAAGGACTATATTGTTTTTACTTGAATTAAAAATATATCACCTTATCATTTGATAAGTGGATGGGACTGGTGAACATCATGCTAAGTGAAATAAGCCAGACTCAGAAAGATAAGGGTCAAATGTTTTCTCTCATGTGGAGATGGGGGGAAAAAAGGAATTTATAAAAAAAGAGGAGTGGGTTTGACAAAAATACAAGGAAGACAAAAAGAGTGGAGGAAGGAGTTTGAGAGAGAGGGAAAAAGGGAGGGTATGGGGAAGTACTGAGTAGTAAAAGCTACCAAATTATGCTGTGTCCATGTTTGAATATACCACCAAGTTTTACATACACATATATGTATGTATATACATACATATATATACACACACATATACACACAGCTTTTATATACATATATATAGCTTTTTTATTTATAATTATAACACATTAATTAAAATGATAATATAATATAATTAAAGAGAGATCAGTAGAGCAAGTGCTTCAGGGGAGGGAAGATGTTAGGTTGATCAAATTGTTCATTTACAAATATGGCATAATGAATCTCATTATGTTCAATTACAAAGCCCCCATGAAAATAAGTGAACAATTTTTAAAAAATTTATTTACACCCTCTAGTCTTTCCAAAAGTAATTTCTAATTAAGGTATCAGGCAGTTCTGGAGTTGTTTTCTTATGAGGTGCTTCCATATATTGGTGTAAGAAATATCAGCAGTGGAAGTAGTAGAATTTATATTCTTTTTTTTTTGGGTTGTCTTCCAAAGCCTGCATTAGAATTAAGGAAACAGGCCACTTTACTGTTTGAGCATTCTATTTCAGTGTTAAAGAAGCTTTATTTTCCTTTGTAAATAGAAGCATGTTTATTTTTGAGACAAATGAAATTAGCTTAAAATTGGTTTGAACTTCTTTTTTAAATGGTTATTTCTTTTGTTGTCTTTATAAGAAGAAATATGGGTGCTATTAGATTTGGAATATTGATGTCATATTTATAAAACTACAAGAAAATTATTTTGTTTGTTTCTAATTACCCAATGTTATATTTTATCTTTTAGATCCTGTTTGACCAAACTCAGAGATCAATTAAAGCACAACTTCAGAACTTTGTTAAAGAGTAAGTTAGTTGCAGTGAAGAGGAAGGAAAAATAACCAGTTAATGATCACATCTGGGGATTGGTATCTTGAACAAAATTATGGACAATGAAATACTGAAAATATTGGAGTTTTTGTTTGCTTTATGTAATGAATATGGCATTTTTTTTCCTGAGTTAATAATATAATGGAATCAGATAGCATGTCTTTCAGTGAATCATTTATATCATGAGTATGTGTTCAAAATACATAGCTAAGGCTGTTATGGGTGTAAATTAGAAATATAGTGGCCTTTATATGTATCTATAAAAATATGTTTATGTATATACCCACGTATATATATAAAACTCAAATGTGGTTAAAGTACTATTAGTTAACCATGAGAAAACTAAGTTATCTCTTGTTCTGTGGTATTTTTCTTTGAAGAGAAGATTAATGTAATATGTGAGAATGAGTTGTGGAAGCACATACTTTGTGTTACGTGACCTTTTATGTCAGTTATCACATTTTGTATGTGAAATAAAACTGATCAAAAAATTTAAAAAAGTCTTCCCATGTTAATAATGTAGTTTTTCTCTTTTAATTCCTGAGACTTTTATAAGATTATAATACTGCAGTCAGAATAAATTATAGAGATTATAAGATGTGAATAGTAACAGAATAGTGTTAGAGTTTATCCTGGAGATAATATCTCAGACTCTTTTTTGGTTGTTGTTGTTTTGGTTGTGCTAAGGATTGAACCCAGAGTCTTGTGCATACAAGGCAACCATTCTACTAACTGAGCTATGTCCCCAGCCCTGACAATCTTTATAATTACTTTATAATAGATTAACACTCAGACTGTCCTCATAGAATGTATACATAAAAATTTATGTCATCTTTGTTACAGAGTGTAGAAAGTCTCTTTTAGATATATTTTACTATAATTAAAAAACCTTTCATCTGCAAGTTATTTTATCTAATTCCCTAATAGTGAAAGTGAAGAGATGTTATATTAGGTACCTAAAATCATTATCAAATCAAGGATTTCACATTTAATATTGAAAGGGATGTGGTTGGCTGTCACTGCTATAATTCTTTTAGAAACTGGTGTGTGTGTGTGTGTGTGTGTGTGTGTGTGTGTGTGTGTGTGTGTGTGTGTAACTTATTGGTGTCCTTTGACCTGATACTTCCTTGTAGCAGTAAAATGAAGGTGTGTCTAAAAACAAAATGACCCCCCCCCCCCAAAAAAAAAAAAAAAAAAAGCCCTTCAAATTTTCAGGATTAATCACAAAGACTAATGAATTGTAGTATTTGGGAAAGGATTTTGGAATCTTCATTTTATACAAGTGCCCTATGTATATTACTGTTTAAAAATTATCTGATAAAATCATGGCACATGCCTATGAATTTATTTTCAGAAAAAAATTTACTTTGTTTTTGTTATGTTAATTTGACATTATACATTTTTACCTCAAGTTATATAGATTTCTACAATAAAATGTTAGCTTACAGTATCAGGGCTTATATATACAGGTAGAGCATACCTAATCTAAAATCTGAAATACTCCTAATCTAAAATCTGAAATACTCCAAATCTGAAATCTGAAACTTTTTGAACACTGGGGTTTGGATTTTTGAATTAGGGATGCCTAAAGTCTACCCATGTATTCCCCCAAACAGGAAACTATGAAATCTGAAACTCTTTTGGTCATAGGCATACTTCTGAAAAGGATACTCAACTCCTTAGTGGAGAATAATATACATTTTAGTTGGAAGAGCTAGTGAATATCAGTGCACAATTAAATAAATAAATGGAGGAACATAAGAATTAAATTCAAAAGCTATTTTGTCAAAAGTTTTTGATCAAGAAAGTTTTATGAAAGTTTCATTGTTTTTATTTTTTAGAGATCTTAGAAAATTCAAAGATGCCAAGAAGCAGTTTGAAAAAGTCAGTGAAGAGAAGGAAAATGCATTAGTAAAAAATGCCCAAGTACAAAGAAATAAGCAGCATGAAGTTGAGGAAGCCACAAACATTCTGACAGCCACAAGAAAGTGTTTTCGACACATAGCCCTTGACTATGTGCTTCAGGTATGTATTTTATTATATGTTTTCAGTTTTACTAAATAGGGTGTTGTGTTTGATTGGACTAAAAAGAATAAATAACACTTTTTCACTGAGTTTAGAATTAAATTGTGATCTTTTGTGAAAAAAATTCACTTGTTTTTGTGTGTACACATACACCCATGTGTGTGGACATGTATGTCTTTGATTTCAAATTCTTCTTTTAACTTAATTATAACTTCCCCTATTTTGGAATGTTTTTAAAAAGCATTTTAAATTGCTATATGTATTTTATTCTATGGAGTTGATAGATCAATTTAATTAATAGATGACTATCAGACTTTTATAATATTGCCAGTTTTTTTCTGGTAATAGTGAAAATATAATTTTTATTAATTTTATGTTTGCATCTTTATATATACATCCTTTGCCACATTTCTGATTATTTCTATAGAGTAGATTCTTACAGGTATTAAGGCTCACTGCATTGCCAAAAGAAAAATATTTCTGGAAGTAGTGTTCTCATATTTTTGCATTAGATACTACTTTTAAAAATTAGAGATCTGGGGCCAGGGTTGTAGTTCCATGATAGAACTCTTACATAGCGTGCTCGAGGCCCAGGTTTTGACTTCCAGCTTCACAAAAATCATAACAACAAAACTAAACAAAACACCCTAGAGATCCATATTTGGTACATTCCTTGTGATCTTTTGTCCAATGTATAATTAAAACTAGTTTGAATGTAGTAGGTTTCCAAAGGAATTCAAGACACATGAAAAATGAAGGCATAAGATATTATTTCACATGTA